GAATAATAATAATAATAAGGAATAATAATAATAATAATGAATAATAATAATAATAATGAATAATAACAATAATGAATAATAATAATAATGAATAATAATAATAAATAATAATAATAACGAATAATAATAATAATGAATAATAATAATAATGAATAATGAATAATGAATAATGAATAATGAATAATGAATAATGAATAATGAATAATGAATAATGAATAATGAATAATGAATAATGAATAATGAATAATAATAATAATGAATAATGAATAATAATAATAATAATAATAATGAATAATGAATAATAATAATAACGAACAATAATAATAATGAATAATAATAATAATGAATAATGAATAATAATAATAATGAATAATGAATAATAATAATAATGAATAATGAATAATAATAATAATGAATAATAATAATAATAATAATGAATAATAATAACAATGAATAACAATAATAATCAATAATAACAATAATGAATAATAATAATAATGAATAATAAATAATGAATAATAACAATAATGAATAATAATAATAATGAATAATAATTCATAATAAGTTAATAATAATAATAATAATAATAATAATAATAATAATAATAATAATAATAATAATAATAATAATAATAATAATAATTTTTTTTTGTATTTCGAGGCTGGGGAACAAAAAATGTCTACACACACCCGCAGAAAACGTCTTTCTGTGGGTAGTGCACGGTTCGCGCTAATCGCTGACATGCTAAAAAACTCCCCTTTCCAGGATGAAGCACATGACCCGGAACCACCACTAGGTATTGTTTCAGGTCATGCACATCCTGATTGTAAGATATAATCTTACGTCGCTGCTGTTGTACCTGCGTCCAGGCGCCTCTTTTTTGCGCGAAGTACTGCCTCCACGTGCCTCGCCACCACGTTCCAGTTGTTTTCACTTGCTAGTAGTAAGGGTACTACATTTTCCGGGGTCCAAATGCCGCCTATCTGTGCTTGCAGGTTGGTTCTCTCGATTAACCATTGATTGCATTCAAAAAACGTGTGTTCTACATCGTCGACATCAGCATCGCCATAGATGCAACTCTGCTCCTCTCGAATATTCATCCGGTACAGATATTTGCCGAAGTACCCGTGCCCGGAGAAGAATTGTGTCAGGTAATAGTTTACCTCGCCGAACTTCCTTGTGGTCCAGGCGACTAAGTCCGGGATGAGTCTTGCAGTCCACCTACCACTAGTTTCGTTAGTCCACCGACTTTGCCACTCTATCATTGTGTGTTCCCGATAATTTGTAGCTACGCTGCTGTTTTCGTTGCTTTGGCGGCTTAACCATGCTTGCCTCCGTTCCATGGCCATGAGGTCGATGGGTATTGAGCTGCTTATAACAAGGACCGCCGCACCTGAAACCGTACGGTATGCAGATGCTACCCTGAGTGCCGTTGTTCTCTGGATTTTTTCGAGCGCATTTCGCTTCTGGTTAATCTGTAATGCATTAGACCATACTTCAGAACCGTAGAGCAGAATCGCGTTCACAACTGTCATTAGCAGTTTTCGCTTGTCTTCTGTTGGGCCGCCAACGTTTGCCATTAGCTTGCTTAAGGACGCTGAGGCCTTTGAAGCCTTTTCACCTGCATGTTTTATCTGGGCCCAAAACGACATCCTGGAGTCCAGCTGGATGCCCAGATATTTCATTTCCTTGGACGTTTTAATGGTAGAGTTCCATACCCGCATTTCAATTTCCAAGGGTATTTGCTGTTTCGTTAATATAATGAGTTCTGTCTTCTCAGTTGCTAGCTTTAGACCGCGGTCATCCATCCATTCCATCGTGCGTAGCATGACCTGATTTAGTCTGAACTGTGCTTCGGTTACATTTCGTGCTGTGATGACTGCGGCTACATCATCGGCAAAGCCTACTAGGTGTACGTTGTCCGGCATTTCAATGGAGAATATTTCATCGTAGCTCGCATTCCATAGATCAGGGCCAAGAACGGAGCCCTGCGCTGCTCCGGAGGTGATCTTCTTAGTTTTTGTACCACTCCTTGTGTGATAGAGAAGCTCTCTATCGCTAAGGTAGCTGCGGATCATTCGCATCAAGTACATCGGTGTATTAAAGCGTCCTTCAAGGGCGTTGATCACATCGGTCCATTGTAGGCTGTTGAACGCATTCCTAATGTCTAGAGCCGCCAGAAGTACTATACGCTTCGAGTAAGCATTTCCACATTGTGCGGCTTCTACGGTTGCCGCCACATCAGCGATAGCTCCAATGGTGGACTTTCCTGGCCGGAAACCGTGCTGTCTGGTGGATAGTCCCCCAGCGCTCTCAATGGATGCTGCTATACGCGGTTTTAGTAGTCGTTCCAGCAGTTTCCCTGATGTGTCGAGCATACAAAGTGGTCGGTATGCATTTGGCATCTCGGGGTTGCCCTTTCCTTTGCTAATTAGGGTTAGTTGCTGCTTTTTCCAGGGCTCTGGAAAAATGCCTTCCTTCAGACAAGAGTTAAACATTTCAAGCAGGGATTGTGGGCGGTCGTCTGCTATCAGCTTAATCGCCTCAGATGGGACACCGTCCGGTCCTGGGGCTTTGTTATTCTTCAGAGAACGTGCTGCGGTTTTAAGTTCCTCTTCCGTAAAAAGCGGTGGATCATCGGTGAGTACCCTTTCACAGTCTCTGCGTATTTCATGATCCGGAAAAAGAGAATTTACGATGTTATCCATCACATTTTCTTCCAATTCAGGAACTGGCGCCAAGGCACCTATTTTTCGCATGACGATCTTGTAGCCAAGTCCCCAAGGGTCGTTATTTACGTCTTCACGTAACTCTTCCCATTTTCTTTTCTTACTTTTGGAAATAGCGATCTTTAATGCCTTCCTAGCTGCCTTTAATGCTTCGCTTTCTGCCGTGGCATCTCTCCGTGTTCTGGCCCTGGTCCTTCTCCTCCGCATTTGGAGACAGACCCTTCGAAGTTCAGCAATTTCTTCAGTCCACCAATCCCCGTGTAGTCCTCGAGAACTGACCATTCCTTTAGCGTACCAGCTATCTTCTCCGACACTAACGTGATGTCTGGAATAGTGCCTTCGCATCCTGGTCTGCGAAAGGTGGGCGACATCCCTCTGTTAGCGACTACAAGTCCCAATCTGGCCGCCATGTCAAGCACTCGCCTACCTCTGGGATTTGTGGTCATCATGCCCCATTCAATGGCCTTCGAATTGAAGTCGCCTGCTATAATAAAGTTTCCACCCATTTGGAGGACGCAATCTTCGATTGCGTCCAGTTTCATCTGGAATTGGCCAATACTGTCGCTCGGTGTAAGATAGCAGCTCATTAAGGTAAAGTTGCGATTTCGAACCCAAACGTGTCCGTCTCCGGCACCACTGGCTGAGAAAGAGAATTTCTCGGCGCATGGCAGCCAGATGGCTGCAGTTCCACTGCAGTCAGCCAAGAAGGTACCGCAACTGATTTCTCCATATTGTTCGCTAATTATGACAACATCCGCGTTCCGCTCATGTATGAGTTGTGATATAAGGGCGTCTGCTGTCCTGCTTCGGTGCATATTTGCTTGCAAAAATCTCATCATCTTTGGGCCTTTACCGATGCACATTTGCCAGATGCAGCAATGTGATCGACGGTTTTGAGGCCAGCGTCAGTACAGACGCAGCACTTCGGAGAGTTTGTGCACTCCTTTAGTTTGTGTCCAGGTGCGCCACATTTGATGCAGAGGTTTGTTCTATCTGGACCCTTGCAATTTCTCTGTACATGTCCTACACCAAGGCACCTGAAGCAACGCTTTGTTTCGGTGCGCGTCCGCTTTTTTGCTCTGATCCATCCAATAATGATCGAGCCTGTCTCGAGAAGCTTATCAGCTGCTACGGTGGGTAATTGCACGTAAGCTCTGACCAGTTCTTTGTTATTTGGTTTGGTGACGGTCACCTTCAACTGATCGCTTCCGCTTGGAAGGAGTCGTTTAACCGCTTCTTCGACTTCCGTCGTTGTAGTAAGCGCATCGAGATCTCTTATCTCTATGGTGGTTTTCGGTATCAGACCAGTTACCTCCGCCGTTTCTTGCAAAGCACTCCTTATTTCATCGCAGAACTCTAAGCTTGCCTTGGTCCCCTTGTCAAGCTCTAATAGCAGAGCTCCCGACATTGTCTTGCGGACTGCTCGAATTTTGACTTTCGAGTCATCCGGCTTGACATTCGAACGGAGGTTCTTTAAAATGTCCGCATAAGTTTGACTTCCCGTCGGTTTTATGAGGACTGCTTCCGTCTTTGGGCCTCTGTCCTTATTGGGCCTGGGTCTCTTTGCTTCTGGCTTAGTTTTCTTTTCAGCTTTCTTTGTACCGACATTTATTTTGTCTGGTCTTTTCGTAGTTATGGGCGTCCCATTTATTTCTCTTTTTTTGGGGGTTTTGAGCTTCTTCCGATTTACGGTTTGCCATTCCTCAGGCTTATCTTGTCTGCTCTTTTTGGCGCTCTCATTTCCTGTGTTTTGCGCAGCAGGACTTGTCGCCATGCGCTTTTGTCTATGCACGTTTGGTGTGTCTACCACATTTGCTTCTCTTCGTGCTTTTTTCGCCACTGCCTTGATCCAGCATCGGCTATAGTAGCCCATGTTTTCGAAGTGCGTTTGCAGTTCGTTTACGCCATCTTTAATATCTAGCGAGACATTTTTTTGCCGCATTATGCCATTTTTTATCTTCATTAAGGCGGCTATACACTTTCCTAGTGTCTGCTCCTCTTCCCTTCTCAGGGTTTGGATGTATTCATCGCTCGGTGAGACGGGAACCTCCTTCATTTGTGATGGCACGTTTGGCGTGCCACTGTCCGATGCGGACTTCCCTGGGCCATCTTGCGATGGCGCTTCCGTTAGATTTTGTGTATTTGTTTTTTCATTTGTCATGATTTTTGGGTCCAAACTCCTAGCCGCTATCGATGTTCGGTTGTATAGTCGCTCGTAACGATCCCCATGGTTATCTATGCGAAGCAGGGAGGCCATGCGAGGGTTGACACAATTCCTTATGGGAGATTGTGTTCAGAGCCAGAATCTGGCGCAGGTCAGGAGTACTCTCAACTGAGCCTATACCACCAACTTAACGGTGACGAAACATCGAACGTACTTGGAGACTTGCCAAGTTTTAAAAGGACGGAGGAAGATGCAGCATTAACCTGAAAGCCATTTCTATGAGATGTCACTCTCATATACTCAGGTAACAGAATACCACATCCGCCAGCCCAAAGTCATCGTTATCGTTGTTTATTTCCAGTATGCCATGGGTGTATGAACCCTGAATTCATAGCTGATGTGCATTGCCTGTTTCGGCATGCGTTTTTTGCCATCATCTTAACATAGTGTTTATGTTGGACGTGAAGGAACTCCATCGTTGGTGCAGCTGCCTTCTCTTAAAACAGTGCACTCGTCCGTGTCCCTCGGTGGTGCACAGCTGCAGTCACTCTCTGCACACTTGGGTGTCCCTCGATGGCTGGATTTTAGTCGCCTCGTACGACAGGCATGCCTTACCACGGGAATATTCTAACCCCTATCCCGCAGGGGGAATAATAATAATAATAATAATAATAATAATAATAATAATAATAATAATAATAATAATAATAATAATAATAATAATATAACCATTGATTGCATTCAAAAGAAGAGTGTGTTACATCGGTCGATCAGCATCGCCATAGATTTGCAACTTGCTCTCTCGAATTTTCATCGGTACAGATATTTGCGAAAGTACCCGTACGCTCCTCGCGAGACGCATACTTGTCAGGTAAATAGCTTTTCCTCGCCTGAGCTTCTCTTTGTAGTGTTCTCAATGGCTGGATAAGTCCGGGATGAGTCTTGCAGTCCACCTACCACTAGTTTCGTTAGTCCACCGACTTTGCCACTCTATCATTGTGTGTTCCCGATAATTTGTGGCTACGCTGCTGTTTTCGTTGCTTTGGCGGCTTAACCATGCTTGCCTCCGTTCCATGGCCATGAGGACGATGGGTATTGAGCTGCTTATAACAAGGACCGCCGCACCTGAAACCGTA